TGATAGGATAACTGACCCACTATTTTGGAAAACATTTTTAGTAAATTCATCAGCTTTGTTTTTAAACTGACATATAAACTTATAAGCCATACAGAATTACAGTATTGCAAAACATCCATAAATGCAGAAATAAAATAATAATAATAATAATAATAATAATAATAATAACAATAAAATCTGCTTTCTTGATCCAAAAGACCTCAGTCAGCAGAGGAAGTAGATTATTTGCATTGATTTTTTTTTTTTTTACATATACTATCTATATTGTCTTTCCATGATAACTTGTTATCTATCCTTACTCCTAAGTACTTACATGCATATATAAAGATACTACAGTCCTACAGTACTTCAGTTGGTCAGAACTCTACTTGCATTCAATATAAATGTAAATTATAATACATTTTGGTAGCACTTTATTTTAAGGTGTCCTTGTTACACGTTACATGCACAGTACTTACTATTATAATAACAATAAATGATGCATAATTACATGCAAGTAACCATAAGACAAACCCTAATCCTAACCCCAACCCTAACCATATGTGACCCTGGAGCACAAAAGCAGTCTTAAGTCGCTGGGGTATATTTTTAGCAAAAGCCAACAATACATTGTATGGGTCAAAATTATAGATTTTTTACTTGTATGCCAACAATTTATTAGGATATTAAGTAAAGATCATGTTCCATAGCGATATTTTGTAAATTCCCTACCATAAATATATCAAAACTTAATTTTTGATTAGTAATATGCATTGCTAAGGACTTAATTTGAACAACTTTAAAGATGATTTTCTCAATATTTTGATTTTTTTGCACCCTCAGATTCCAGATTTTCAAATAGTTGTATCTCAGCCAAATATTGTCCTATCCTAACAAACCATACATCAATGGAAAGCGTATTTATTCAGCATTCAGAAGATGTTGACCCTTATGACTGGTTTTGTGGTCCAGGGTCACATATAGTAAGTACACGTAGTTAATTAATAATACTCAGTACTTAAATATATAATTACACTGTAACACATTTTCATTAAAATGCAATTAACAAGCAATTAAGTGTCCAGAGACATTGAATATTCCTTTAAGGTATAATAAGTGCTGTTTTTAAAAGTGTACTTCTTTGTTCATTGTAGCAGCCGGCAAACTGCTAAAGAAACCTCTGATAGAAACCTGTGCGTCCTGATTCCAGGAAGCAGCAGCAGCCAATCAGATTACAGCTCTTGCCATTTAAATGAAGAATCCACATGAGATGGTCAGTAAGCGTATGAGAGCCGTCTGAGGCTAAGACTAGATATGACCTTTGTGTGGCAGGCCTCAGTCTTTCTCTGTGTCTCCTGCACGCTCCGCTGCCCCGAATAGCCTCCTCCAGAGCCGCAGCTGAGCCGAGAGATAAACTAAATCAAACCGCGGACACCATGAACAACCTGGACACTCTCCCCTGCAAGCCTCACCCCCAGATAAGAGGATGTAGTAGACAAACGCAGGGCTAATTTAATTAACCGGCTTCCCGGAGCCTCGGCTGTAAGCTCGCGTTCAGGGATTCCTTCTGATGAGATTGTATGGCTGTGTGCAATACGACTCACTTAATCTTTAATGGGACGCTTCATCTGTGCAGTTTCAATATTATTTCACACCGGAGGCTGCCTCTCAGTGGTCAATTTGAAGACAATCACTCCGCTAAACGTCCCTTCACCCATGACCGGCCTGCTAATTGCTTTTAATTCCAGATTCTGAGTGTCGTTTCATTTAAAAGCTGCCCATCAGGCAACTTTTGCTGAAAATGAACGCCGGAGTTGTCTAGCATTAGCGTGTTTTATGGCTCCACGTCACCGTGCTGTTTTGCATTTGCATTTCCGCTGATAGGAGACGCTACGATAGGAATGCAGATATACGAGGCCGGCTCTTTTCGCATAAGCGTCTAAGTAAGAGTAATATGCAGATATGCACTTCTGTGACAAAGCCGAGGAGGAGAGAGATAATAGCAGAAATCAGATAGCAAGCGCAGGTATTTCTCAAACGGAGCTCTGTCTGGCGATAGCCCATGCATATATGGAAAACAGCAGATTAGCCCAGCCAAATCTCCTCGTGCCCCTCTGAAGTCCTTTGTCGAATCGCAGAGGGTAGGGGACTAAGCCGGCGAGCATGTTTACATAGCTTGTATGAGTATCGTTGTCCAATAAGTCCTGTCTCCCATGGTCTACACTTAAACAAGGTCAGCTCTGCGAGGAAACAAATGAGAAGTCCCATATCACGCTTTGAATGCCGCCACATTACCGGGCCTTGCTCTGTGTGCGAGCGGCGATAAGCGGAGCGCTAATGCCGCACACAAGGCACTAATAAACAAACGCTGGCTAAATTGCTTGAAAAGAAGCAGCGATGCGTAGGCTGCGACTTAATCTTCCCTTACTTTACATCCTTATTCAAGATGGGCAAAGATCGTGCGTGTTTTCTTTTCTCAGTTCCTCCCACCAGAATCAAATCTGTCCTTTTTTCCCCAATTTTTGCCAGGAGATTACGTCGGGTATTTTAATTTTTTTGTCTACACGGGATATGCGATTGTGATCCCGTGTTAACGTTTCTGAACAAAGGGCGAGTCTTTGAGAGAAATTAAAAGCGTTTGTTCCTAAGGAGACCATATTTTAATCTCTAATTTGTCGTAGGAGCCAAAGACGGTCGTTTAGACCTCTCTCTGCGTGAATCGAGTTGGGCTAAATAGCTGCCGTGCTTGCATTGTTTCTGCTAATGTGTCATGCTGTGAGATGCGAGTAAAACACTCTGCACTTTGACTGTACAAACACTACACAAGTACAGCTTTTACAATGAAGCAAAGTTAGATTAACCTTAGAAGAAGGGTAACTATAAATATAAAGTTTTAATAATGGATCTAATTCTATGAGAATATTGGAAGTCCCCACCACAGCTTTAACAATAACAGCATAGAGGAACAATATCATTGGAATCACTTTGCATTGTTTGTCAGACTTTATATCAAGTGGCCTTAACTACTATATACTAATATTAAATGCCTATAAGACTATGGATGTATGGTGTAACTGCATGTTCCTCTAGAAAATTCCCACATTTACTGCTAACGAGTTTGAGGTATGGTATAGGAGTGTGAAGGTAAGGTTAGGGTTATATGGGTTATAGTTAAAGGTTTTGGGGTAAGGGTTGGGTTATGGTTAGGGGGTAAAGTTCACAGTCTATCTACAAATGTTAATTAAAAGTGCATACTTTAATTACAATGCATCAGCAAGCATGTACATAATAATTGTATTGTATCAAATGGTTAAATACATTAGGGCTGAAACAATTATTCAACATTATCGACAACAGACAAATATTTTTGTTGTTGAGTAGTTGTTTGATCTCATATGACCTAATGTAAGAGCCTGCAATTCAGCCCTCCTATGTGCAATTCAAGAGAAAATAACACACAGAAACTTCAGAGCAAATGCAGCTGAACCTGAAGCTGCTGAGCGGTGTTTGGATCAATATGCAATATGTATATGATGCACGCTTTCCCCTCAATAACAAAATGAACACAACAAAAACTGATAGTGGTGAGAAAGCAGCAGTTAAGAAAGCATCTATTACAGCGATGTGGATGTTTGTCTTGTCACATTTATTTAAATAGCACTAAATATAATAGTTTGCTTTAGAGCAAAGCAGCTTTACAGTATTTGACTTGAAAAACAATGTCAGTGTCACTTTCAATTAGAATTACAACTTCAGTTTTACTATGAAGCAGCTCCAGTTAGATCATGATTTTATTGACGTCTGACGTCAACGGACTGAAGAAATTAACCATAGAAAATGTCCACACCAAGGAAGGAGAAGCACCACAGCACGCCTACTTGTTACGTAATCTCCACAGACGAATGGTAGTTTGAAGGTGGCAATTAGCCGGAGCAAACCTTTCTGGAAAGTTTGCTTTGGCAAAATGTCTTGAACTACCTAAACAAACTCCAGACAAACTTTGTTTAGCCTAATTTTGCTTTCGATTTCGTTTGAAGAACATTGGGGCCTTTAGAAACAACAATGAGCATCTTTTGTTATCCTTGACTTGTTTTTCAGCTACTATTATAAACGAGCCACTTCACACTCTTCTACAGTTTCTTCTACCACATGCACATCTACTCCATCAACCTCACACTCGGCCTCAGACCCAGCAGCATCCTCGCCATCTGGGTCCCCACACTCCTCCAGTGCCCTTAGTCACAGTGAAGACCTTACAAAGTCACCAAAACCCTCCACTATATCACATGAAGGTCAGGACGCACCAGGGTTGGCTGACTTTATGAGAGGTGTTCATGTCTACTTCTACAACATGGCTGCTACAGAGAAGAAGAAGCTCGCCCGATACCTTATCACATATCCTTTCACGTTCCATCTTTACCCACACATTCAACAAAGCCAACAAACTACTACACTAAAACAACATGTCTATCATCACATTTATAAGAAAGCTTGTTGATGTTGGCGTGAGCTAATAGTTTACACCTTAACGTTTCTGCACATATGACGGCGATGAAGAGGATCTCATGAGCTCACACGTCACTCATATTGTAGGAGAGGTGGAAAGTCCTGTCCATGCACAGGTAGTACAGTCAAAACTAACTTTTTAAAGAGGTTTTAATTTGCCTAATACTTACATTTATTAATTTACTAACAGCAAGTATGAATGTAATCTGGACGTACTACATTCGCCATGTCGTCATTGTTATGTGACCTAGTACCAGCATCAGTTGTGTCACGTCATTGCCATTCACAAATCCTCTTCCGTGGCCTCAAGGGATAGTAAAGTGTCCATCGAATGCACACTTCAGAATCACACTGGAAGTAATAAGTCATCCGGGTACTTTTTGCCTACTCTTTTATGAGTACTGTCATACTTTTTTGTCACATACTGTTTTTCGCCTAGTATATAGTAAGGAAGTATGTGATTTCGGATGCGGCCAATAACTTTTCTTTAGTAAGTCGAAAAACAAAGAATTCCATATTTTCACATTTCAGTTTATTTTATAGTACAAAAAAGAACAAATAGTGTCCAGCGGTATGGGAGTCTGATATATGATCGTCTCTATCCTCTGCAGCGCCAAAGTTCATTTTTGTTTAGAAGTCTTCGTGGATTTCCTTAAAAAAGGAGTATATTTGGTTATATCACATTGCATAATGATTTATGTGGTTATGTTGCATATTTATCAGTGAGATAAAAGGAGAGATTTAATGACTTTACTCACTGGGCTTCTTCATGAAGAATGACAACTTCCTCCTCTTCGCTGTCTGAGATTATCATCACTTCATCTGTACACACACACACACACATACACACACACACACACACAGGGTTTTAGTGTTTCATGAGGACTCTCCATAGACATGATTTTTATACTGTACAACTTTATATTCTATCGCCTAAATCTACCCCTTACAGAAAACACTGTATTTTTTAATTTATAAAATAAATAAATAAATAAAAATAATAGTATCATTTATAAGCTGTTTTCCTCACAACGTCAAAAATTTCAGGTTATACTATTCTTGTGAGGACAATGGACATGTAGTCCCTACAACACACAGAATATATGGACCATACACACACTTATTTTTTTTGCCAGACAATTCAGTCTCAGACTTCAGAATGAATATATATATATATATATACACACACATATACATACACTACTGGTCAAAAGTTTGGGATCAGTAAGAATTGAAAATAAATCAGTAATATTTTTTAAATAAGTCATCAAGGCTGCATTTATTTGATCAAAAATACAGAAAAAAACAGTAATCTTGCAAAATGTTATTACAATATAAAATAATATTTCTATTTTAATATCCTTTAAAATATAATTTATTTTTTTTGATGCAAAGCTGAATTTCCACATGAGTGGATGAGTGTCACATGATCTTTCAGAAATCATTCTAATATGCTGATTGAATGATCCTGTATTTCTGATCAAATAAATGCAACTTTGATGAGCATAAGAAACTCCTGTAAAAAAAAACATTATTTTTTTTATATATATATGTATATATATATATGTCAGTCCTGTGTCTTGTGTTTTGCTCTAGTTTTCCCTCGTGTTTTCCTTTGACCATATTTGGTTCTTCCTGTGTGTATATATCTATCTATCTATCTATATATATATATATATATCATTAAAGTGATAGTTTGGTTTGCAGAGATCTAGCTCAGGACTGTTTTGATTATCATAATCCTATAAGGTATTTTAAGAGAGATTATGTTGTGAATAAGCCTGTTTATCAAAAAATAAAATGTCTTATCACTTACCTTTATTTTGTTTCTTATCCATGTGACTTACAAAAGGAGATGTTCGGCAGAATGATGTGTCAGTTACTTTTTCATTTGAGAGTGTCATCTTTGTCATCTCATTTTGTGTGCCAAATATATTTATTTGTATAAGTTAATTGTATAATTATTGTAATTACATAATATGATTTTCAAAAGCTGAAGTGATTACCTTTATTTATTTGTTAGAATATGTATAAATCAATATTTTAACCAACTGCAAAAGCTGAATAATCATTTAAAGTGTATTGATTAATCAGTGAAATAATCAACGATTAGTCAATTAATCGTTAGATTAATCGATTATCAAAATAATCGTT